GCTACAGACTTAAAAAAACTTGGTGCAGAACATCAAATGCAAAGTTCCATGACAGTCTATGAATGCTGTCAAAAGCACAGGTAACTTAAGATCAAACCTGATGTTTTACCCAAGGATTCTGCTTCACATTTTCAAGCTTTCCAGTTTCCCTAGATTTGCAATCCCATATATTACATACTTAGTACAAATTGTGTGTGTGTCCAAAAGGAATGGCAACAAAAGCCAAAATAGACAAATGGGATCTAATTAAACTAAAGAGCTTCTGCACAGCAAAAGAAACTGTCATTATACTGAACCAGCAACCAACAGAATGGAAAAAAAATTTGCAATCTACCCATCTCAGAAAGGGCTAATAGCCAGAATCTACAAAGAACTGAAGCAAATGTATAAGAAAAAAACAAACAACTCCATCAAAAAGTGGGCAAAGGATATGAACAGACACTTCTCAAAAGAAGACATTTATGCAGCCAACAAACACATGAAAAAAAGCTCATCATCACTGGTCATTAGAGAAATGCAAATCAAAACCACAATAAGATACCATCTCATGCCAGTTAAAACGGCGATCACTAAAAAATCAGGAGACAACAGATGCTGGAGAGGATGTGGAGGAATAGGAACAGTTTTACACTGTTGGTGGGAGTGTAAATTAGTTCAGCCATTGTGGAAGACAGTGTGGTGAATCCTCAAAGATCTAGAATAGAAATACCATTTGACCCAGCAATTCCATTACTGGGTATATACCCAAAGAATTATAATCATTATATTATAAAGACACATGCACATGTACATTTGTTGTGGTGCTGTTCACAAAAGCAAAGACTTGAAACCACCCCAAATGCCCCTCAATGATAGACTGGATAAAGAAAATGTGGTACATATACACCATGGAATACTACGCAGCCATAAAAAAGGAATGAGGTTATGTCCCTTGCAGGGGCATTGATAAAGCTGGAAACCATCATCCTCAGCAAACTGATACAAGAACAGAAAACCAAACACCACATGTTCTCACTCATAAGTGGGTGCTGAACAATGAGAACACATGGACACAGGGAAGGGAACATCACACACTGGGGCCTGTCAAGGGTAGGAGGCTAAGGGAGGGATAGCAGGGGGTAGGGAAACGGGGGAGGAATAGATTAGGAGAAATACCTAATGTAGATGACAGGATGATGGATGCAGCAAACCACCATGGCATGCGTATACCTATGTAACAATCCTGCACATTCTGCACATGTACCCCAGAACTTTAATAAAAAAAAAGGAAAAAAACCTGTGTGTATGCATGTGCAGTTAAATCAACAACTGAAGTCAGCAAACGTTTACTAAGCATCAGTTATGCGTAAAACACTACATATGAAAGTCTGATGGTGATGGTGGAAGGAATGGTATATATAGAAAATAATGGGTCTTGTCCTTCAGGAAATCATAGTTCAAGAATAAAGAAGACTGTATGAATAGTACAAAGTAGACTCTGATAGTTTTGATAATGGAAGAAGCCTAAGAAGTTTTGGTAGTTTAGGGGAAGATTCTAACTAGAGAGAAGAAAATCAAGAAGATGTCACATGGGATGGAACAATCTCAAATGATATTAAATGATGGCCAAGGAGGCTGAGGAAAAGGCCTTCAAGGCTGAGGGAAGTGTCGGGAATATGGTGTAATCCTGGGTCACTGATTGCACAGTGCAGGGAGAAAGGTGAAACGTATAGAAATATTGGCTGGATAGATGCACTGCAAAGGTCAAGCCAGGTTAAGAAGACAGGTTTATTCTGAATTCGGTGGGGAACATTCAAAGGGTTTTAAACAGGAGAGTGACGTGCTCTGATGTAGGGCAGATATAAGCTATCCATACTGGCAAAAGGAAAGAATGGAACCGGGGAAACTAGAGGTGAGGTTTTTTATAATCATATGTATACAAGTAGGTAGGTAAGATGGGACTGAGGGAAAGGAGAAGAAGAACTTGTGAAACATTCAAAATGTTTTTACAGAATTAGATATAGCATATAAAGGGAAAAAACATAAAGACAACAAATTTTTAATATGAATGACTGTGCCCTTCTATGGAGAGAGAGAACTCAGGAAGAGGAACCAGTTTGTAGGGAAGGGTCCAGGAAGAAAAGTAATTCTTATTGGGAAACATCGAAGGCAAAGATAAAGGAATGAATGATTTGGTATTTGTGAAGTGCTGATCAGCATGGTTCCCTTCTTTGTATTATCTCAGGTAAGACTGAAAGGTGGTACCTGTGGACTGTGTGTAGAGATGTGTAGCCTGGTCCATAGTTAGAAATAAGGGCTGTGACTTGAGGAAAGGTGACAGCTAGAAACAAAGATTTGGTTTTCCACACAATGTAAAATAATAGATGAAGCTGTGGAGTAAATATAACCTTCCAGGGAAGGCAGGTTAAGTGAGAAGACAAAAGAATGGAGAGCAGACCCTTAAAGAGAATCCAAATCACATTATTATTTGAATTGAAATGGACATTGGTCTTTTTATAGACCTCTGACTCCTTGATCTTCAAGAAAGCAAATGTTTAAGAGTGTCCTGGGGCCGGGCGCGGTGGCTCACGCCTGTAATCCCAGCACTTTGGGAGGCTGAGGCGGGTGGATCACGAGGTCAAGATATCGAGACCATCCTGGTCAACATGGTGAAACCCCGTCTCTACTAAAAATACAAAAAATTAGCTGGGCACGGTGGTGCGTGCCTGTAATCCCAGCTACTCAGGAGGCTGAGACAGGAGAATTGCCTGAACCCAGGAGGCGGAGGTTACGGTGAGCCGAGATCACTCCATTGCTCTCCAGCCTGGGTAACGAGAGCAAAACTCTGTCTCAAAAAAAAAAAAAAAAAAAAAAAGAGTGTCCTGAATATTGTTTCTTGGTGTCAGCTCTGCTCCCAACCTTACATACTCTCTCCTAAACTGTGGAGCCTGGAAGACTGAATATTACATTTCCCAAACTCTGTTGGCAGCTAGGCTCTGCCAGTGGGAGGCACTTGCATAATTTGAGAAGATGCGAGAAGCTATTATGTTTTGTTGGCGGCTCCAGTAGTTTCAGCAGAACCAATTAGTGAGGCAGAGGTAATTCAGAAGTATTGTGCGGGCTCCACACAATGTAAAATAATAAATGAAGCGGACACCACCTTTCTTCTTCTGCTCCACTGGGTCTTGTAAACAATTCCCTGCGTTAAATCCTCTCCTGTTTAAAATACCTGGAGTGGTTTTAGTATATGGACTGATAGACACTTTATATATCATATAATGAAAATGTAAGGCTAGAAATTAACCAACCCTTTAAAAATTAGATGATACAGAAGATAGAATAATAATTTTAATTTTAAAAGGAAAAGCAAGACCCTAAAGTAATGCAGCCATATTCCAAGTGTCTTTACATGGTCCATGAAGCTCCAAGGTTGTTCAGTGAAGAACCTTCAGAACAAACTGATTTAACCAAGTTAAAATAATGAAATGTCATATTCCAGAAATTCCTCTTAGCAGAGAAACACAGAAGGGGGCCTAGATGCACTACAGGAGGAGTTCATTGAATTTCTCTGCTACAAATCAAACTCAAATTGAGCTGCAAGATTCCTCAGGTGTACTGCCTAGTATAACATAAAGTTGGGCCACGAATATCCACCAGGGAAACAGCAACTGAATTTCAATGTTATTAACAAAATAGCTGAAATGAGCATTAACCATGTACTTAGCATTGTATGAAGCACTAAACATATTTTGTTCCATTTAATCCTCAAAGTATCTTATGAGGTTGTTGCTATTATCATCCTCTTTACAAATGAAGAAACCAAGGCTTGGAGAACTGAAGTTATTTGCCTATGGCCACATAGGTAGAAGTGGCAGAACATAAATAATTGATTTGTAAGTTTCAAGAATGTACTTTTTCTAAATAAAGAAGAAATATGGAGAAGAAGGATGCCTGATAGACTGGGTAAAATGGCCTTAAACTGTCATTAAGTCAAAACTAAGCCATGCTATGTTACAATTTTAGTGTGTAAAGGAATTGTTTTTGAGAGAGCTACTCAAAGCTAAAATTCTGTGTGAATTGTACAAAATACATAAAATTGCAGGTAACCAAAAAATCTCAGGAATCTCCAATTTATAGCAATTTATGTTATTTTTTCTCCAGTTGGCCTGGGACTACTCTCTAAGGCAACATTTCAATGACAAAGAGATTGTTTCTGAATGTGGCTGAGGAAAAGCCATCATTGCTGAAGGCAGGGACATATACTGTTCTTTCCCTGAAGAATAAAAAAGTACTAAAATCTTTCTGGGCAGTACTATCCATTATGTGAAGAACTGACAAGGAATATAAATGGAATCTAGAGGGGTAAGAAGACTGAATTTAAGGTGACCTAGTTCCCGTTAGAGTTTTATTGACTGAACACTACCATATAGAGATTCAAAGTCATTTCATCCCTATTCATAGAGTGTATACAGCTAGACACAGATGCAACCAAAAATGGGCATTCAAAAGAGTAAGGGTTCTCACAGGTGAAAGAGTGGCTGTCTAGTTAGGTTGAGAAGAGTGAGTGAGGAGACTGGAAGTGGGACCAGGTGGGACAAGAAGTGAGTAGTGGGAGAAGAGAGAATCAGTGGATACTCCACGGCATCAGGAAGCCAGCAGAATGCTTTTTTTTTTTTTGCATAGCATGTTTTAGTTTGCAAAATATTTGATTCTCATTTATAAGCTATGTGTTACGATTTTCTATGTATTATAAATGATAAAACTAAGCTTCAGAGCAGTTAAATGACTTTCCAGGCTCTCAGAGTTTTGGAGAGTTAAAGCTGGGGCTCCTGCCCCCAAATTTGGCACTTTTTTGTCCTCTAAAACCGATCATTGTAAATGAAGAATCTGAGGAACAAGCATATGGATTTTACAAAATGTAGGTTTAAAAATGCAAACAAGAATGTAAACATATGAGGATCCTTAAAAAAGCACTCTCCATGTTTTGAAGAACAGCAAAATCATGAGAAATGACTGCTTACCTTACTACGGATAGCCCAGCTCCAATGTAATTTAGCAGCGGATTTGATACTTCTTCTGCATCCAGTCCAAACCAGCCAAACCTGAAAAATCCAGAAAGTCACATCAAATTAAATACCATTAAGCTGTTTCATCATAATGTTTAAGGGCATGGACTTGGAACCAGATTCCTAGGTTCAAATCTTAGCTCTCTCATTTATTAGCTGTGACTTTGGATAAGTTATTTATCTTCACTGTGCCTTAATTTTCAATTATTTAAATTTAAATTTTATTTATTTATTTATTTTTTTGAGATGGAGGCTTGCTCTGTCACCCAGGTTGGAGTACAGTGACTTTTAAAAAACTTTTAGGTTAAATATCCCTACTCTCTCATCACCATAAATTTTTTTTCCTGCCTTGGCATTGTCATGATCATTACCAAGAATCACTAAGAACCATCCAGAGGCAAGAGAAAAGGAGAAAAGAAGGAAATGAAAAAGAAAATAGCAGGGGATAGGGAATGGGGAAGGAAGAGAGAGAATGTATTGGAGGTAAGTTGGCTTTTGTTGTTTTGAGGTGGTTGTCATGCTCTGAGTGGAAAGGGAGTTCAAAAGGTCAGGTGAGAATAGCACCCTACATTCTACTCATTTTCCCAGAATTAATTTGAATGTTAATCTTAATGCTGACCACGGTCACCAGTCTGATAGAACTTCGTGTAATGATGGGACTGTTCTCCATCTTCACTGCACAAAAGTGCAGCCTCTCCCCATTGGCAGCTACCGTGAACAGGAAATGTAGCTAGTGCAACCAAGAAACTGGAGGTTTAATTTTATCAACTTTTAATTAATTTAAATTTAAATATAAATGGCTTCTCGTGGCTTGTGGCTACTCTATTAGACAGCACAAAGCTAGAGCTGGGGCTGGCAAACTTTTCTCAAAGACCAGACAATAAATAATTTAAGCTTTTAGGGTTGGTTATTCTCTTGCTGCTCAGCTCTGCCACTGTGGCATAAGAATAGCCATAGACAATCCTTAAATGGATGGGTTTGGCTGTGTTCGATAAAACCTTATTTATAGACATGGCTGGGAAACAGGGCCATGGTTTGCCGACCTTACTCTAGAGGGAACAATATGTGCTCTAGAACCAGAAGACCTGGGTTTGAATTCTACTGTCCTAGTTCTGTGACCTGCAGTAAGTTACTTAACATCTTTGTGTATCTGCTCTCTTATAAGATAGTGCTTACCTCATGTATTTGTGAAAGTAAGATGAGAATGATGCATAGAACATGTCCAGAAAATTGTCACATAATAGAAAGTGACAATAGATATCAGTTTCATTTTTCTCTCTTTACCTCTGTTTCCTAGATTTAATGCTACACTATATCTTGACCAAATATCTAGATTACTTATTAAGGATTTGGGGCAAATAGCAATAGAAGGTGGCATATTTGATGCATATATTTTACTGGCTATAAACTCTATGAGAATAAGATTCATATGTTACTCTCTCGGAGTAAGCACTTGCCTTATGCAGAATATGGGTCAGGAAATCTTAGTTGAACTAGTTTGACTTGAGTTACCTTGAGCTTGCCCAGCCAGTTAAGGCATTAAATGATCCCCAGATTAAGATTCCAAGGCCTAAACCAATGGTTTTGATAATTGGGACAACAGCAATGTTCCCTGTAGATGTAATATACAGAAGAAACATGTTATTTCCGATATAGAAAATACATTTATAAATAGAATTAGTTTTTATTCTAACTTCAACTGAAGTGCATGGGATTTGGAAAAATTTACTAAAGCACAGTTCCTTATTTTTTAAGTAAGATAACCACACTTTGGGCATTAATGATTATGATTGTTAAAAGACTAGGCTTAGGGAAAAATTCTACAAAGAAAAATATTGAATTAGTTCCATTCCTAACTGTACAGAGGTTTCTCACCCTTAACGTAGCTCTCTGTTCTGTGACTCTTCATGGAAGCTGTCACTGATAAATTGTCAGTGACCATCCTCTTAGACTTGAACTCAGGCAATTACTAGCAGAAGTCTTTGGCCCTAAAAGAGCCCCAGAATTTGCTCTTCCACGATTGCTCATTTTTCTTCTGGATTTCTGGATTTTCACATTCGTTCTCTTATGTTTTGAGGGTCACTGAGGGCCAAATACATAAATTTTTTTATTTTTTGGTCTCAGTCCTACAATCTCAAAAGATTATTTCTTTAGGATTCCATGATGTCTTCATCTCTTGATTCTCCTCCTGTTTCCCACGACCTCTTTCTCTGGCTGCTATTTCTCATCACTCCTTCGGGAGTAAGTACCCCCTAAAGATTTTCCCTTGAACATATTTGTCTCCTTGCTTTATTGTCCCTTCTTGGTACCTGACCTATTTTTATGATTTCAGCTGTTAGCTAAAGGTCCATGTTCCCAGTGCTACAGTTCTAGCCTGGACCTACTTTAGAGTTTTATTTTCCAAACTGTCAAGAAGAAATCTCCAACCAGATGTTCTCTATGGTGGAAATATCTGGATGGTCATGCTCAGAAAGTGCGAAGCTGAACCCATCAGTTTTCCCTTCAAACATATTATCTTTCCTATTTCCTCACTTGTGTCAATACCACCACCCTCCTAAGCACCTATCGTGAAATCTCTACATGATCATTGGCTCCTCCCATTCTGCTATGTCCTACACGCTATCAGGTGCTCCAACCTGTAGCACCCACAACTGCAACATATGTCAAATTAGACTCTTTCCTCACTGACGTCCAGTGGAACCTTCAGGGTGAACAGAAATGGTACAGTGGCTATAAAGAGCTGCAGGATAGATGGATGCTTAGTCTGTTCCTCTCCCCCATTAGATATGACAAACAATCTTACTGAGGTGTAAGTGAGGTATAATGATGTAAATCCTGGTGGAAATTTAAAAGCTAACTCTTTTGTCATCAAACGTATGAACATCACTAAATAATTTAACTCCTCAGAGATTCAAATTAAGTGGGTAATAAATACATTTTCATGTTAATTTTTAAAAATAAATGTTAACATTTTAACATTTATTTGCTTTTAACAAAATTATTTCTAAAGATCATTGATACTTGGAATTCTCTTTTTTGAAGAAAAAAAAAACATTTCTTGATTGGCCAAGCCAAGGTATGAATTCTAATTATATAATGTCACACTGATAAGGCACAGAGAGATTTTTGTTTGCTTTGCTTTTTTGTTAACCAGCCCTTTTGAAATGATAGTATCTTCACACACGCCTATTTAGGCTAAGTCCTAAAACTGGTACTAGTTGAGATTACTATTTAATAAATATTTTCTGATAAACATGCTAGAAAAAAGGTCCAGAACACATTAAAATATGAGTTATGCTTGAATAGATGAAGAATAATTAAAATGTTTTTACTATAATAATTTTCTACCAGGAACTTAAAAGTAGATCATTAAGAGGAACAAATCAGGTAAGGCATCAAAAATATTCATAGAGCATGTGAAGGCAAGAAATGAGTTAATTTCTAGTATCTATGATGAAGGGTTATTTAGAATCACTGTTTGTGCTATTTCCTTCTATTGTGAATGAGAATTATTTTGATCCTCATGTTACATGATAAAAGTATATCAGTCATTACCTGTTGCCCAAATGCAGCCCCCTAGCATCGCAAAAGGCCAAAATTTTGGGCAATGTAATATCAGATTGACCACCAAGGCAACCAACCATATGGCAGCACAAAGAACCCACTGGAGAAACATTCCTAGAAATAAACAAACAGCATTAGTGGTACAAATTGAATTGAGTAAATTTGTGCTCAGGAATATCAATGAGGAGGTATTATAGGAGTGGCCACAATTTACTGAATGCCTATATGCCATGGACTTTGCACATTTCATTCTTATGATTACGCTGTATCATAATCAACCCTAGCTCAAAGATAGAGAATCTGCAATGAAGCAACCCCTGTCCAAACAGCTGGTAGTTTGTTGAGCTGGAATTTAAACCCATGTTGACTCCAAGGCTTATACACGGTGGGCTCTTGCTTAACATTCTTTTATTCTCCTATTAGACAAATCCAGAATTTTCTGCCGAAGAGTGATGGCAAGGCCAAGTCTATATCCTTTTTCAGAGGCCACACTGAGTACTCTTGCTCCCCCCAAATATGGTATGAAGTACTTCAGAACAGCACTACAGAATTTAAACCTTCAGGGGCCAATTATGCCACCTCTGGGACAAAAATAAAGTCATTTATGGCTACACATAGGCCTCATACAGTTAGTTTAATGTATATAATGAGTCAGGCATTATAAACCTGAGAATTAGCTTTCTAGGTCAAGGTTGCCCTACTTTCTATACCTTGAGTTGCCATTTGCCAGTTACCTGAAAATAATCTGGTGTTATGAGGTGTATCTGCATATTTCTGAGGCTTCTGCATCATTAAGGATTTAGAGATTAGAAGGATGAGGAAATAGTTGACACTGAAAGAAACACTGAGGCTGTTAAAACTCAATGTATTACTTCTGGCACTAACTTTGGAAGATTGTTGCTCTACTTTGATTCAGTCACTTGGTGGAGGAGAGAAAAAATGGCTGCTAATCTCTATGACAAAAGAGTAGAATCAGCTAGGCACAGTGGCTCATCCCTATAATCCTAGCACTTTGGGAGGCCAAAGTGGACAGATTGCCTGAGCTCAGGAATTTAAGACCAGTCTGAACAACATGGTGAGACCCCGTCTCTACTAAAAATACAAAAAATTAGCCAGGTGTGATAGTGTGTGCCTGTAGTCTCAGCTACTTGGGAGGCTGAGGAACGAGAATCACTTGAACCCTAAAGGCAGAGGTTGCAGCGAGCCAAGAATGTGATACTTCACTCTATCCTCGGTGAGAAAGTGAGACTCTGTTTCCAAAAAAAAAAAAAAAAAAAAAAACAAAATATAAAAAAACAAAAAGCGTAGAATCACAGAGATGAAAAGAAACTTCATTTTATAAGTTCTTCACTTTACAAATAAGAAGCTGAAAACAGCAAAGTTGGTAATATTTGCCCAGGATCACAAAGCTAATTGTGGAAGACCAAAAGCTAGATCCTCCACCCATTTTCTTGTTCTTCTAGTAGTTTCCATTCTTCTAACTCCAAAGGAAAAAAGAAGGGCCCTGGAGGAAAATCTATCACATTTTTCAAAAGCATGCTAAAACTCCTTTTTGCGGATAGTTAGGATATTACATAACTAACTATATATTATGTTTGTACTTCATGTTCATTTATTCCATCAACAAATATTTTTGATCACTAGCCTGCAATTTAAAAAGAACAACTTTGTCTTCAGGGCTTGAAAGCCTAACTTCTTCTGAGATCTGAAGACAATTTGTAGGAGGAAAACAATTTGTAATTCTATTTTCTAACTGTATGAAGACAAAGAATTGGGGAAATAACACAACTGCTGTCAGGTAATAAATGCTACCAGGGAAGTAATTCCCATGATGTGCTCACCATAAATCTCCAATCCCTTCTCCTGGCTTCAATATGGAAGTCAGGTAAATATAAATAACTCTTGCTTCTCCTTCCACAAAATTCACATTAGTCAATTGTGCTGTAATGTAACATGTGCATTCCTTGAAATCACTCCACTATGCAAAATCATGCAGTAAAAACTACAGAGCATATGGGGAAAATGGGGCTGGGAGAACAACACTCAACCTAATCAAAATGGTACTACAGTTTTAACTGGTTAACTTGTTGATTACATGAATGCTGTAACAAATAGGGCATTTTAATAGGAAAAGACCAGAAGTCTGCTCCTGAAGTGGGCATCTAAAGGGCTGCAGCTCACGAGTTACTGTGAAGGTGCTGGATGAAGAGTTCTGACAGATGTGATACTTCCTAACCATATGTGGTGAACTAAGGGAGCTGGTTGATAGCTGAAGGATGTGCATGTGTGTGCGTGCATTACGTGTATTATCACACATCTTTATTCATCTGGATGCAGTTTTCTGTGTTTACCTAGAGCTTTCTCAGAGACAAAACTGCATATAAGCAAGCAAAAAATCTGTTATGCTTACATTGTTCCCTAATATATCAATCATGTTGAAGACTCATGTTTTCAAAACAACTGTTACTAGTAGAACTATAAATTTCTTCAATTCGCAAAATGGCTAACAAGCTTTTGTGACAGTACCCACCCTAGCTTTACCATGAAACAACCTTAATGGTTCTCCTATGATGACTTTCAGAGAAGCTCGTGTGGGCACTATCAAATGATTAATTTTAAGCTCTATTCATTAGGTATCAAGATCAACATGATTTATTTTTGTAGCTATAATTTTAAAAGGCCAAAAAAGGAACTCATCTTTAAAAATAATGTAAGGTTAACAATGAAGGAAAAATAATTACCATCACCAGTGTCAAATTTTTTAAGTGGCACAAAATTTGAGCCAAACAAAAGGATAGCTACAAAACAGGAGGTGTAACCAAAGGTTAGATCTGCTCCATTACTGCTCATGGTTCCAGCCTTGCTGAGTTCGCTGGTTCACTTTAGACTTGATGTACTTTTCAGGAGATTCTGAAATAAAAGAAAAAACAAAACACCTGAGACGTGAATCCATGAACAAATTATGATTAACGTATTTATCGAATTTTTCAAAAGTATGCTAAGACTCTTTTTTGTGGGTAGTAAGGACATCACTATATATTATGTTTGTGCTTCATGTTCATTTATTCTATCAGCAAATATTTTTGATCATTAGCCTGTGATTTAAAAAGAACAACTTTGTCATCAGGGCTTGAAAGCCTAACTTCTTCTAAGATCTGAAGACAATGTTAGTACATTACAAAAAATATTCTCCTGTGTAGGTTCCATCACTGCAGAGTTTTAGTGGATAACACTGCTAAACCTATTTAATGGCTCTAGCTTCTCTATGAAGAAAAGGACTATAACTACAAATAACCAAGAATTAGACATTTTTTCATAAAGTTATCTTTTGTGAAAGGCTGCTTAATACAATTTAGATTTTTAGTTGCCCGAGTTATACGAGAAAAAAACACCACCAAAGTAATTTTATCACAAGAGGTAAACAGAGTCTCTCCACAATACCATCTTGGATTCATATGTTGCACACTGGCCCTTTGGAATAAGCTCTCTGGAATAGAATTCAGAATCATCCAGTGGTTTCTTTTTCATAGTGATAACTTCTTGTATATATGTATTGAATAAAGTACATCTGAAATCACCTTTTCTTGTAATTTTATTTCACAGTGACAAATATATAAGGTCCATGTATTGTTCCTTACGTGTTCTTGCAGAGAATATTAAATATACAACAACCTACAAAATATGTTATTTAGCATTATTAAGGACAGTTTAACTGAAAACAAGGATCACTTCAAAACTGGTCAATAAACTTTAGTAAAGAAAATGTGTATTTGAAATTGTGTGGATTTTCTTACAAACACATTGCTAGTAAGAAAACATCCTTCATAGGGATGTAGCTGAGAAAGAGACACTGAGGTACATTTCAACATTGACACAGTAACACTATTGAAGAAGAATACTGTTAGCCTCAACGAGAGGTCCAGCACTGCAGTGGCTTACATGGGTTATGGCTCAAGGGTCAGCTGAAGCAGGTGCTTGCTGCTAAGATAACAGGCGTGCTAAGATAACAGAGCTGCAACAGGTCAGATATGCAGGAAATATCTTGAAAAGCTAACCTATGACTAAAAAGACACATGATTGGGTGATAGCTATCACATCATTTTTTCCCTCATTTTAATTAACAACAAGCAAAGCAAAACAAAACCTTCACGTGGACATTGATAAGAAGAGAATGTCTAACCTTCAAAAGTGGCAAATTATTTTATAGAAAAGAAGGCTCCACAAAGGCCCTAAATCTCTGAAATGGAAAGAATAATTTGACATGCTAGAGTGCATGAGCTGCATTTTGACTACCAAATGAACACCAGTTATTACCTATAGATAAATGATGTTTATTGCATGCAGCTCTTGAACATTTTAGAAAGCATGTGATCTTATTTCATTGTGAATTGGCAATAACTTACTGTCTTTAAAAAGGCTCTCTCTCTAAAACAATGAAATTTTTGTGGAAAAGAAAAGCAGTGTCACTCCATCCAGCACATTTCCCAATTCTGCACAAAACCTGAACAATCTCAAACATTATTTTAATGTTTTTTCAGTGTCCACTGATATTTTGTCAAACTATATTAACTTATTTTCATTTTATTACTTTTGTTTAATTTATTAGTAAATACTTCTCCTTTACGGTTTTCCTAGTAATTTAAACTTCTACGCAGACTTTAAAAAAATTCCTGTTTGGTATATTCTGATCAATACTGTTTGTTCCACTCCAACTAAAATTTCATTTTTAGTTTCATGTTAATTTCCCCAAATCTCCCGGCAAGTACAGCCTGTCTTTGGGCTAAAATTAACAGTGCTTGAAAGTATTTATTCTGAGCCTTGATTTTTTTCTTTTTAACCATGAGAATGTTTTGAAAAATCATGAGACGCTCGCTCCCCTGCAAAGCAACTTGGCTTTCCTTTGAGTGGCTGTACTCACTGCGTTCCCGTCTGGCGGCTGAAACTCCTTCCTACTCAGCGCTGGCGCGATCCGCCCACTACGTGCGGGTATGGAGACGGAGCCTGACTCATTCCCTCTACGTGCCGGGGCGGCCTGGTCAGCCTTTACTGTCTGCGGGGACAGTTTCCCACACACCGGCCGGGAGGAGAGGGGAGGGCTCTAGCACCCGTGACCCAGAGTGCCCTTCCCAGGATGCTCGCGCAGAGCGCCAGTCCAGCCCTGACTTCCTGTTGGGACGTTTACCTCCACCTCAGGAGGGTGGAGAGGGAAGGGCTTTAGCACCGGCGACTCAGAGGTCTTCCTAGGACAGCAGGTTGGGGAACGCCTTCCTTCAGTTTCTGTGCTGGAGTGAATTGTCAGGTGGCTCAGGAGGAGTCCTCAAGCTCTGAGTTGGTCAACCAGAAAACTAGAAGAATTTTGTGTATTTGTAGGTGATTATTCAGGGAACTTTCAGCATGTCACCCTAAGTGTCACAGAAGGTATTATTTTTTATTATTGTTTATGGATAAAACAAAAGGCTGAGAAATTTCACACCATTATGAAAGATTACCTGAAGTGAATTTTTCCACTTAGTATTAGAAATTCATCATCTGCACCACTGATGTCATTAACGTGTCTTGTGACATCACAAGATTTCACTTGTAATCACTAATTCTTTATAGATGCACCCAAGCCATTTATTTGTACAAGTCATTTATCTGTATTTTTATCTAATATGTATTGTGTCACATGAGAATATACATTCTAGGATTCTCAAGCTTCGCTGCACATAACAATGGCCCAAGGTGGTGGCTTTAAAACGCAAAACAAAACTAAACTAATATCTGGACCCAGTACCAAAGCAATTAAAATAGAATCTCTGAGTATGTGACTCAGGAATCATTTTCTTTCAAAAACCTTCCCTGGGTGACTCTAATGTGAAGCTGGGCTCGAGAATCATATTCTAATCAATATTTGTCCAATGTTATTGCCTGTAAGAATCACCTGAGGAATGGGTTAAAAATACAGGCTCTTGACATCTTTATTTAGATTTTGAGGAACGTTGTTCTAGTCCCCTACTGTCCAACATGTAGCCACTAGCAACATGGGGTTATTCAAAATTAAATTACAAGAAAATATTTAGTAGCTCACTTGCACTGGACACTTTTCAAGTGCTCAGTAGCCAGATGTGCAGGTTATAGAAGATTTCTGTCACTGCAGAAAGTTCTGGAAAACACTGCTCTAGACTGTTAGCCTTGAAAGTACAGTGGTGCCCTAGATGAAATCATCTCTTCATGTGTGTTCCCATATACCAAAGGCTGCAAACTTTAAGTTGGAAAGGGGAAGTGTAGGTTCTGTGCTAGTGTGAGTTCAAGAAAGGCCTCTCTGAGGAAGTGACATTTAACCCAAGACCATCCAGTGGTTGGTCATGGGTGTAGCATTCACAAGAAGGAGAAAACACAAGGACTATAACAGATGACATTTCCTAGAAGGAACTTCTTCCTTAAACATTAATCACATTCATAGACTATCATGTCAGATAGGCAGATGGGAAGGCAAAACATCATTTCATTTAAAGAATTAAAGCAGCAAAACTTTTTCACTTAAGGAAGAGGATTAATTTAGCAGTTCAGAAAGGTTTTGAAAAAATCAGTTCCCGTTTCCACACATGCACATCTAAGACACACATGTACACAAACTCTCTTCCAAAAATATAGGTCCTAAATCCAACCTAGAGTTGTTTCACTTCATGGTTACATGATCATGTGGTTTATTCTTGCTTCAGACTCAGGTGGAGAAGCTGAAGCTTGTGTCAGCATTTGTCGAGAATTCCCTAAAGTCTTAAAAGTGAGTTGGGGCTGAATTAGGCCTGAGAATATTCATTATGGGAAATGCCAGGCTTTTGCTTTTCACATTATGCCATAGAGCAAATCCAAACATGGATGACTCTGTTCTTAAACTAAAATTTTTCTTTCAAATTGTTTCATATATGTGATTGCCTAAACATAATGGTTTGTATTGGAAGAGTCCTGGAAGACACTAGAAGATCCAGTTTCTAACTTTAGCTTCATCTATTAACAATATTTCTCTCAGAAAGTCATTTAATTTCTTTAAACCTCAGTTTTCTTATATAGAAAATGATAATAATAAGACCTGTGCACCTTTCTCTTTTATGTGGTCAAAAGATATATGTATAATAAAACATTATTACTAGGACTTCTGGTTTCTGCTCTGACATTTAAGTCTCCACTCCCATCATCACAACAAGAAAAAAAAACTGAGCAAATAAAAAATCAACAACTCTTTTTAGATCTGCCAGAAAATGCGGTCATAGTACATGCCACCTTTTTGCAAACTGAAGACATAGATGAATACGAAGAATTACAGCTTATCAGGACAGCAAAAGCCACTGAAGCCAGTAAAGGGTTGGGGGCACTTTTACAGTATTTGTCATACATACTGCTGAAGGCTGAGTGTGGAGTAACTTGAGAGTTGAAAACTGAGAGAGAGTGGGAGCCATTCGTATGGGAGCATCCACACATTCATGAATTTTACTTTCAAAAGATACGAGAAAAATTTCCTCTTTGGCACGAAGGAGGAAAAAATAACTATTTGAAATATACTCAGAAACAAAAGCCTGCCCTCAAGGTAAACTTTGCCTGAGAGCTTTATCTCAATTACAGAAAAGGCAACTAGACAGTTTGAAGACCTTCTACACTTTCTTTCTCATGTAAGGAGAAAAATAAAAGAATAAACTCTTACAAGTTCACAACCCAGGGACTCTGAACAACTGAAAAATAGAGTTTTAGATATTGGAGAAGATAGAGAGAAAAGGGAATGCTTATACACTCTTGATGGTAATGTAAACTAGTACAACCCCTCTGGAAAACAGTATGAGGATTTCTCAAATAACTGATAGAACTAACATTCTACCCAGCAATCCCACTATTGGTTATCTACTTGATGGAAAAGAAATTGTTATATCAAATGACACTTGCACTTATATATTTATTGGGGCACTATTCACAATAGCAAAATCATGGAATCATCCTAAGTGTACACCAATAGTTGATTGAATAAAGAAAATGTGGTATATATAAACCATGGAATATTAGGCAGCTAGAAAAAGGAGTTAAATCACGTCCTCTGCAGCAACATGAATTGAGCTAGAGGCCATTATCCTAAGTGAAATAACTCAGAGACAGAAAATCAAATACTGCATATTTTCACTTATAAGTGGGAGCTGAACAGTGGGTACACATGGAAATAAAGATGAAATAATAGACTCCAAAACAAAGAAAGGTGGGAGAAGAGTGCAGGTTGAAAAATTATCTACGGGCTGCAATGTTGACTGTTTGGATGATGGGTTCACTAGAAGCCCAAACCTCACCATTACAGAATAAATCTATGCAGGAAACCTGCACATGTGCTTCCTGAATCTAAAATTTTTAAGAAATAAATAATAATAAAAAATAGAGATTTTTATCTTAACATTATAGAACGTATCTATGCTTCAGTGTCTTATGTCCATATAAACAGTGCTCTGGTATAATAACTGTGGATCACAACTAGAGAGAGTTGCAAGACACAACTCTGCTTAAGAATGAATTTCTAAGAAAACCCAAAGACAACAAATAGGGAAGGCAAAAAGAAGGATATTGGAGAAAATAGAAGCCTCTTATACCTACACCTACAACAACCATTAAATACAGTATAACTTCTGGCCAGATAAACACATATAACCTAAAGGCCTACTTACTTTGTTTTCTATTATCTGATATGACATGCCTAGCTTTCAATGAACAATTATAAGGCATGCTAAAAGGCAAGAAAAAAACACAGTCTGAAAAGATAAAGCAAGCATCAGAACCAGATTCAGATATGGCAGGGACTGGAAATTTAAAATAAGCTATGACTAATATGCTAAGAGATCAACTGGGAAAAGTGCAAGAACAAATGTGTAATATAAGCAGAAAGATGAAAACTCAAAGAATCCAAAGGAAATGTTAGAGAGCGAAAAACATTACAACGGAAATGAGAAATGCTTTTGACAGCTATGAAAGAATCAGTGAACTTGATGATATGTCAATTGAAACTTCCCAAACTTAAATGGAAACAAAAATAGAATATGAAAAAGAAACAACGGCCGGGCGCGGTGGCTCAGGCCTGTAATCCCAGCACTTTGGGAGGCCGAGGAGGGTGGATCACAAGGTCAAGACATCGAGACCATCTTGGTCAACATGGTGAGACCCCGTCTCTACTAAAAAATACAAAAAATTAGCTGGGCATGGTGGTGTGTGCCTGTAATCCCAGCTACTCGGGAGGCTGAGGCAGGAGAATTGCCTGAACCCAGGAGGCAGAGGTTGCGGTGAGCCGAGATTGCGCCATTGCACTCCAGCCTGGGTAACAAGAGCGAAACTCCATCTCAAAAAAAAAAAAGAAAAAGAAACAAAATTCTAAAAATTGCATGAAAGTTACAAAAGGCATAAAATTCAGGTAATAGGAATACCAGAAGGAAAAGAAAGAAAGCAACAGAAGATACATAAGTAATAGATATCTAGGGATCGAATAATTGTGGACAACTTTCTAAAATTCATAACAGACATCAAACTATAGATCTGGGAAGATCAGACAACACCAAGCAAAATAATTAAAAAAAAACTACATGTAGGCATATCGTATACTAATTGTGGAATATTAGACAAAGAGAAAAAAGTTGAAAGGAGTCAGGAAAAACTATCACTTTACTTACAGAGGAACAAGGATGAGAATTACCTCTGACTTCTCAGAAGCCATGCAAGCAAGAAGAGAGTAGAGTGAACTATTCAGAGTGTTGAAAGAAAAATCCACTAAGAATTCTGTGCCTAGTCTATCCTTTAAAAATGAAAGGAAAATAAAAACTTCCTCAGATAAACAAAAACTGAGGAAATTTGTTACCAGTAGACCCAGCTTGGAAGAAATGTTAAAAGAAATTCTTTAGAGAGCAAAAAAATGATACTTACCAGAAATTTGAATTAATGTGAAGGAAGGACATTAGAAGTGCAATAAATGAAGGTAAAACGTAAATCTTTTATTTTTTCTTATTGTTAATTGATCTAATAGATAATTGTTCAAAGTAATAATATCAGTAATATATTGGGTGATTTTAGTTTATCAATAAATGAAATACATAATAGCAATGCTTTAAGGAACAGAAGAGAGGCACTGGAAATATGTTTTATGCAGTAACTGCACTACCCGTGAGATGGTATCATGTTATTCAAAAGTGGACTTAGTGGTAAATGTGTACTGCAAACTCTAGGGTAATTTCTAAAAATATGTTTTAAAGTATAATTGATACCCACAGAGAGGAGAGAAAATAGAATTATATAAAATGCTGAATTAAAACTAGAAAAGGTAGCAAAAGAGGTGTATTAGTCTATTTTCCCACTGCTCTAAAGATATTACCTGAGGCTGGTCAATTTATAAAGGAAAGAGGTTTAATTGACTCATGGTTCTGCATGGCTGGGGAGGCCTCAGGAAACTTACAATCATGGCAGAGAGTAAAGGAGAAGCAAAGGCATGTCATACATGGCAGCAGGCGAGAAGAAGAGAAAGGGGAAGAGCCTCTTATAAAACCATAAGATCTCTTGAGAACTCACTCACTATCACGAGAACAGCATGTGGGAAACCACCTCCCATGACACAATCACCTCCCACTAAGTCCCTCCCTCAACAGGTGGGGATCATGGGGATTACAGTTCCAGGTGAGATTTGGATGGGGGCACAGAGCCAAACCATATTGAGAGGGGAGGACAAAAAGGGGAAACAATTACAAGGGCAACAAACAGGAAACAATTAATATATGAGAGAGAGCAATTCAACTCTATCAAAAATTACTTTAAACATAAATAGTCTGAATATACCAATTAAAAGACAAAGACTGACAGAATGAATAAAACACAGGTATCAACTCTATGTTATTTACAAGAAATCCATGTTATTTATAAAGACACATATTAAAAGGAATGGAGAAAGATATATTTTTCTTTTCTTGAACCTTTGAAATAGGGTATTCCTCTATCACACAGGCAGGAGTGCAGTGGGACAATCATGGCTCACTGCAGTCTCGAACTCCTGAGCTCAAGTGATCCTCCTGCCTCAGTCTCTTGAGTAGGTGGGACTGCAGGTATGTGTCACCGCAACAAGCTAATTTTTAAGTTTTTGTAGAGAGGAGGTCTTGCTATGTTGCCCAGGCTGGTCTTGAACTCCAGAACTCAAGAAATCCTCCTGCTTCAGTATCCCAAAGTGCTGAGATTACAGCATGAGCCACCAGGCCCAGCAAGATATACTTTTCTAACACGAATCAAAGGAAAGCTAGAATAAATATTTTAATTTCAGACAAAGCAAACTTCAGACAAGGAAATTACTAGGAAGAAGGCCATTACATAATGATAAAGGGGCCAACTCTCCAATAAGACCTAACAATCCTGTGTGTGCACCTCACAAGTGAGTGTCAAAAGACATAAGACAAAAACTGGAAAAACTGCAAAGAGAAATAGACACAAATAGACTATTGCAGTTGGGGTCTTCAACTTCTCTCTATTAGTAATTGCCAAATTGAACAGGCAGAAAATAAGTAAAAATGTAATAGAAGTGAACAGTACCATCATCACCTGGGTTTACCTGAATTATATCTCATTCAACTGCAGCAAAATAGAGCTCCTCAAGCTCGTAGAGAACATTGACCTAGATATACTACATTTGGGGTCTTCTACATTTGTCAGAACCTGTAGAGCTGTGCAACACACAGAGTGCACTCTAATGTAAACAGTGGACTTTAGTTCATACTAATGTACCAATATTGGTTCATCAATTGTAAGAAATGTATAGATGCAGATGTTGCTAATGCAGATGTTACTAATAGGGGAACTGTGAGAGAGTAGAGAGGGGTTATGGGAACTCTGCTCCTATCTGCTCGATTTTTTTCATAAATCTAACACAGCTCTGAAAATAGTGTGCAAAAATGTTATTATTTTAAACTTGTGATTATTTTATGGCAGTTAAACTATTTTCTCAGCCTGGTGAAGGAAATCGACCCCCCTAAATGATCTCATCATATTTACATGTATGTTTATATGTTTATTATTGCATATATAATATGTAATATATAGTTATTTATTAAATACACAAATGCATTTATTAAATATGTATTAATATAGATGCACATATTAAATATTAAATATATTAATGTAGAATATTTATATATTAAATATATATTTAAATACAATGAGATTATTGATGGGGTTGGTTTACTTCACCAGGCTGACAAATATAAAATATGCATTCAATATATATTTATTATATATTACGTATATTTAGATATTATGAAATAATTGTTGAGGGTAATAATTGATAATATATATTTGCTCCTTTATTTAAATGTATATTTAATTCATTTGACTATCTTTTTAAGCATTCACCAAATACAAGAGTATTTATAAAGAAAGCTACTGTCAAGTGGTATTTTATTCAGGTCTATAGAATCAAAACCAATACCAATATTTTCCATATTTAGTCTCTGAAACCTGTTTATCTTTTCATAATCTTTTGGGATGTTTTGGTGTGGGAACTTTAAAAAATCTAGGCTACTTACCCTCCTTCCCCCAGTTACTAAATGATCCTACAGGCTGAGTGTATCTGGTTCTCATTTTGAGGATCTCTGTGTATAATGAGAAATGATGATTGGTGAAGGCAGAAAAAAACCTGCTGATTCATTGAGAAACCTTCCTCTGTTTTTTGAAAAAGGAGAAGAAATAAATTTAATACATAATATTCAAGTAGAGTTTTATTATCTCATAGAAGCAAACAACATTTTTGAAGAATAATCTGAAATTAGGAAAAATATGTCATTTTACTGAGAAATAATGATGCTGTGCTGAAATAAGTGTTCCTCTCCTGATCCAAAGCCTACTTTTCATGTAAAATATTTTATAATAAGAATAACCCAGTCCTGGCACGGCGGCTCATGCCTGTAATCCCAGAACTTTGGGAGACTGAGGTGGGTGGATCACTGGAGGTCAGGAGTTCAAGACCAGCCTGATCAACATGGTGAAACCCTGTGTCTACTAAAAACACAAAAAATTAGCCGAGTGTGGTGGTGTCACCTGTAATCCCAGCTACTCAGGAGGCTGAGGCAGGAGAATTGCTTGAGCCTGGGAGGTGAGCTGAGATTATGCCACTTCACTCCAGCCTGGATGACAGAGTGAGACTCTGCCTCAAAAAAAAAAAAAAAAAAAGAATACCCCAATAAATAATAAAAATATTACCTTTTGTTGATTTTAAAAGGAGAGTTCACAAAAATTAAAGTTTTGTTTCTTAAAAAGTTTACAATTCTGTAGCTATAATAAACTGAATCAAAGATACTTTTAAGAATCTATTGTGAGCTTAAGAAAACACTAACATCACTTACTTATATTTCTATTTGTAATCTACTTAATTTCATAAAGTCTTTGAAGCAATATAGAATCAAAACAGTAAAATCATAGGAACAAAGGAAAAACCTAGGAACTTAAGAAAGTCAAGATGAAACAAAACAGAGTTTAGATGCCAAGAGCACCTATAGTTACTATAGATGACTTTCAAATTTGGTCTGAGTTTCACAAGGAAAAAGGCAGACAGTGGGTTAGGATAGCTTCCTATTTAACTGCTATTTTTGTGAGACAGTTCTTCAGGAAAGAAAAGGTTTTTCTAGTTGTAAATTTTAGAAGTGGCTAAAGTGGGGGTAGATCTTTTGATTTATCTTTGAGGCATTTTTGAAGGTAATAATACACTTTTATACTCTTAACACTGGTGTATTCATCTGACAAATTTCATGGAGTGCCTACTGAAAATCAGACGCTCTTTTATACACTGGGAACAGACAAAAACCCTTGCACCAATTTAGCATACATCCAAGTAAGGGAAACCAGATAATAGACAACATATATGGTATATGAAATAGTGATACATGCTAAGGAAAAAAAATTAAGGAGATAAGACTAGAGACTTGTGTGTGTGTGTGTGTGTGTGTGTGTGGGTGTGTTGGGTTTGCGGGTATTGCATTTGAAGAAAGGAAGTCCTCACTGAGAGGAAGACATTTGAGAGAAGGCCTGAAGGAGGGGGTGGGAGTGGGGACAGAGTTGCCAGAACAGTGGCACTGAGGCAGATTTGAGGAAGGGCAAAGGAGTCACTGTAGCTGGAGTTGAGGTGGTAAGAAGGATAGTGGTAGAAAATGGAGTTAGAGGGAATGGGGGATGGGAAGAATGTGAGGGTCCTCATGGGCCTTATGCACTTTGAATATGTCTCTGAGAGAAATGGGGAACCTCTGAAGTGTTTTGATCACAGGAGATGTATTAGTCATCTGTTACTGGGTAACAAATATAGCCACCCAAAATGTAGTGGCTTAAGAGAAACCTAAACAAGTATTCTCTCTCATAGTTTCTGTGGATCAATAACTTGGGAGCAGCTCCAGTAGGGCTTCCTACTCGGGTTCCTCATCAGGTTGCAGTCACAGGTGGGCTAGGGCTCTGGCCACCTGGAGAGGTGGTTAGGTCTAGGGGAGTCCACACCCCGGGGGGCTTACTCAAATGACTGACAAATTGGCTGTAGCTCAGGCCTTCTTGACCTCAGGCCTTCTTGACACGGGCCTCACCACAGCACTGCTTGTCTCACGAATGTTGCTGGCTTTCCACAGAGTGAGAAATCCAAGAGGGTAGCAGTGTCCTTGTCCTCTATGACCTGGCATCTGAAGTCACACATCATTCCTCCTGCAGTGTTCTGTTAGTCACAGGGTTCATCCCTGATTTAGTGTGAAAGTAGATTGTATCACGGCGTGAATACCAGGAGGTGGGGATCACTGGGGGCCATCCTAGAGGCTGACCCAGGCAGAATAAAGGAGGTAATTACTGGGACCATGTCCCTCCATAGGCACGAGGATACGGAATTTAGTGCAAAAAAAGAGGAAATAGCCTTTGTTAGAGACACAGAGGAGTCTTTGGTAGTGACAGTATATAGGTGCAGTTAGAGGAAGGTAGGAAGATCTCATGCTGGGGGCTGTTGAACATTCTCATCTAATTTTTTCCCTGTTTCTCAGTGAAATAGGAAACAAGGTCATAGGTCAAGAGTGAGGATGGGGAAGAAGGTGTTTGTTAGAGGTTCACCCAGTATTTCTAGTTTTTCACTATCTTTTATGTGATGCAGTGGTCACTGCCCCTAACTCTTGTTTGGTCATATTATAAAGGGGGAAAAAAGTCTATTTTTGATCATTGTTCTATTGTAAAAAGCACAGCCTGAGCTTTAGTAAAGTGAAAAAAACCCAACTCTGTGTGTATATATATATTTTTTTCTTTTTTTTTTTTTTTTGAGACGGAGTTTCGCTCTTGTTACCCAGGCTGGAGTGCAATGGTGCGCTCTCGGCTCACCGCAACCTCCGCCTCCTGGGTTCAGGCAATTCTCCTGCCTCAGCCTCCTGAGTAGCTGGGATTACAGGCACGTGCCACCATGCCCATTTTTTTTTTTGTATTTTTAGTAAAGATGGGGTTTCACCATGTTGACCAGGATGGTCTCGATCTCTTGACCTTGTGATCCACCCGCCTCGGCCTCCCGAAGTGCTGGGCCACTGGGCCAGGTCCTATATTTTTCATTGTGAGGACAGTATTTTTGTCTTTTTGATTTCAAGAGCTTTTGTTTATAGCATGGAAAGTTTTATGTTATAAACATCTTTTGGTGAAATTAGACTACTTTGTTACTTTAGCTTCCGGAATGGAGTAAAGTACAGATAATAACATTTGCTTAAAGAAGACATTTAAAAAATAAGACATGGTTTGTCCTAGCCCAATCAGCCTAAAACCACCAGGGACAACCTGTAAACAGACCAACGAAGTCAAATTTACTTCTCATTGCAGTGTGGGACTGCACAGGAGAGGAATTGTGAGATGTCTCATCAAACAAAGGAAAATGTAGAGTTAACACAGGATTTTGCTAAAGAGTGGAATTTAGGTGCAGTGATGCTGTATGGGCGCTAAGCAAAGTATGGTGGTGTATAAAAGATGTCAGCTTCAGCTCTGTACTGTGAAATGGACCTATGGTCCTTGTCTCAGTCCATTTTGTGTTGCTATAAAGGAATATTTGAGGCTGGGCAATCTCTAAGGAAAAGAGGTTTATTTGGCTCACTGTTCTGCAGGCTGTACAAGAAGCATGGCACCAGCAACTGCAACTGGTAAGAGGCTCAGGCTGCTTTCACTCATGGCGGAAGGTGAGGGGAGGTGTTGTGTGCAGAGATCATATGGTGAGAGAGAAGGCAAGGAGGGAGGAGTGACGTGCCAGGCTCTGTTTAACAACTAGCTCTCTTGAGAACGAATAGAGCAAGATCTCACTCACTGCTCCCTATCCCAGGGAGGGCATTAATCTATTCATGGGGGATCCACCCTGATAACCCAAACACCTCCCGTAAGGCCCCAGCTCCAACACATTGGTTTGGGGGAGATGAACATTCAAACCATAGCAGTCCTGTTTTCTTGGAAATGAAGTAAAAGAGATGTCGAATGTTGTGTCCTGAGACCCATTCTCTGAAGCTTTGCACAGGGGCTATAAATCAAGGCTTTGCTGATCACAATGACTTGTCCTCCAGATAAGAGTGAGATGTTTCATTCCTGTTGCAAGAATTTTCAACAGCAATACATCTGATATTCTATGATTTCAGAGAATAAAATTTCTCAGCAAGTAAGCAGGAGTCCCTCTAAGAACTAAGTTTTTAGAGGATTCTATGGCTACAATATGTATTTCAGAAAAATATTGTTTTCTGATAAATTTGCACCTAGTTTTATCCGCAGTTCTGATTCTGGACTGATGAATGCCAGGGACATTGCTTTCTTGGCCCAAGTAATTTTCTCAGACTATATTCTGTAACTTACTATTATTCTAAACATTGATGAATAAGTTACTGTCCCTTCCTAGGTAATCTGAGTCAAGACACAGACTCAGTGTGTATTTCATATTTTAAATTTATATTTCATATTTGCATTCGTATTTCATATTTTAAATGTATAATATAAGGCGGTTGGAAGAAGTCTTCAACAGAGTATGTATATAGAATTGGACCGTTTTCAATGTTAATGACTGAATTACAGTGCCTCCCACAGCATGTTTACCTGAACTCAGCATCCAAGTCCCACAATTAGGTTTGTCAGTTTCCAACAGGATGCCTCAAGGTGCTCACGCTCCCACTGTGGCATCTTTATAGCTTTTCTTTCTTCTTCTAGCTTGCTCTGGCTAACAACCACTATCATCAAAGTTGTCTGAAGACTTCCTGTTGCTGCGACTGGTGGGACTCTTGGTGGAAGCCCTATTTCCACGTGCCAATGGTTGCAGCTCCCTAAGGGAACAGGACACTGTTGAATTCTCTAAGAAGCTCAGAGGAAGTCACTTCTCACTATGGTGCCATAAGGGACTTGAAGTCATTCTATTCATGCTCTGTTTTTCAGTAAAGCTGCTTCTGCTTCTGGCTTTTGTGCCATGTCTCCTGCAAGGAATTCCCAAAACTTAAAACAAACCAAAACCCAAAGCCAACAAAATATAAATAAATAAATAAATAAACCAAACAAATAAACTAATGAAAAAAAAAAAAAGAAGAAGAAATGAAGTCAACATTCTGTGAGATCCAGCTCCGATTCTACCTTACACAATGATTAAACCACAAGACTTAACTTCAGCCACAGGTCACCACAATTTTGTCAAAAACAAAAGTGCCTTAAGATTGTATAGTTAAAGACCTTATCTGTTGATTTTCTTAACAAGAAATCAGGAAAGAGCCTCTCCAGGTAATTGAAAGTCTCTTAGAGACCAAAAACTGCTCCTAGGGTTACATTTAAATAAAAGTGTCTACTTGATTTTACTCATCAACAATTAAAAAACTCCAATCTTAGCCAAGATACCCTTTTGCATAAGTCATCTTACAATGCCTTCCCTTTTTCCCCAGTGAATGTACATGGTCATTGTCACAGCCATGTGATTTTCTTAAACAAAGTTCCCCAGTCAGTGGATTCACAGGATGAGAGTTGGCATAATACCTGTGGTGGAAAGACAGAGGAGAAAGATCATTGAAGGTGCTGATGAGAGTATCTTTGATGAAATTCATCAAGGGCCCTAAGAGTGCTGGAGAAATAAGTGAGAAAAAAAAGGTACTGATGGAAAAGTCTTCTAAAGAAAGACTTCTCAATGATATAAAATAACACTAATCATAACTAATAATTATCAGCCTTTATTTGGGTAGGCGCTGCAAGAAGAACCTTATCTGCATTATCTTGCTCAATTCTTACAACAGCTTGGTGAGTTATATACTATTATTTTCTCCATGTTGTGAATAAGGATTCTGAGGCTCAAAGAGTAATTTGCTCAAATCCATGTGACTAATAGGTGATAGTGCTAGTTTTTTTTTTTAAATTTATAGACTTTAATAATAAAACCTTCTTTCCACTGTCCCATACCAGATGAAACTATGTTGACAGATGAATGTTTCCTACTACAGTATTCCTAATATGTATATTCCTTTTCTTTTCCTAAAAGAAACATATTTTAATTTTTCTAAACTATTTAAATTCTTCCATATTACATATTGATATGTAGTTTCTCTTTTAAATTTAATATACGAGTGACATTTTTTATGTCAGTATATGAATGCCAACCTCATGTCTTGTATGGCTGTATAATACAGTATGATATGAATATATCACAAATTTAACTATTATACTATCTAGAGACATTTAGTTTTTTTCCCTAATTTTTGAAATTATAATTAATACTGCACTGAATATTCCTTTTTATTGCATTTTAGATTTTGGGGTACATGTGAAGAACATGCAAGATTGTTGCATAGGTACACACATGCAGTGTGATTTGCTGTCTTTCTCCCCATCACCTATATCTAGCATTTCTCCCCATGCTATCTCTCCCCAACTCCCCACCCCCCACTGTCCCTCCCCTATTTCCCCCCTACAGACCCCAGTGTGTGATTTTTCTCTGATTTCAGTGCTTGTGTTATTAGTTCTTAATATGATTTCCAAAATATATACCTTTTTCTAAAATTTTTAAATAGACCTGAAATACACATGCAAGTAAGTATCCACAGAAGGTGAAAAACTGTAATGTGTTTATGTGTCTTTTTCTATGCATTTTCAAGAATTCTCTAAGCCTGCTTCATCCACCACCCCTTCTCTTTTTCTTTGTTTCTAACTTCTGAGTCCTCCCATTTTGATTTTCTCCCACTATTCTTCTACTTTTCAGGTGGATGTCCCATTTTCAAACTTATCTTGATTGTTACCTTTAGAATTTTACCTGGCTATTATTCAATTTCATGAACCAAAATCACCAGTAAGATACAGCTTAACAGTTGCCAAATAGTAATAATTGTAAGAAAAAGTCAGATAAGCTTGGAAAAATTATCAAGCATAAGCTATGAATTGATATGAGAAGTTTACTAGCAAAAACATAATAAAAATTTGGCCCACATGAAGGTCAAAGATTTAACACAGGTAACACATCCAACATGAGAATAAAATATAATTTTATTAGTTTTGTCAGAGTTGATTCCTTTTTTCTCCACACCTGCTGGTAAGAAGAAAAAACATTAACTTTGATTTAAAGCTTAGTTTGATCTGTTAATTTAGGCAGAAGTTTTTTCAATAGTCTGCCTTGGCAAAGAGTAAAACACAAAAAATGCTCAATTTATTACACAGCCCTTTAATCTTTCAGGTGGTGTTGCTGTGTCTGAGGGAAGGGCTGGGGCTCACAGGACATTATAAACATATGTGAGTCAGAGTCCTAAGATGTTAGATTGTGTCTCATAAATCCTCTAGTTTCCAGGACAATGACCCATCTCATTTCTGCCTTGTCTGCTGGCATTTGTGGCTAAAGTGTAACCCTTGCCTTTTGCTCTCATGACTGCATAGAAACTGTCAAAATCACCAATGGTGGCTGGTTTGCTAAATCCAATGGTTAACTCCCTGTCGTTATTTATGTCACTCTTCAGTAGCATCTGTCACAATCGATTTCCCCTCCTCTTTCATGTTTTGCATTCACATGGCTGCTAGAACACCACATTGTCTTGGTTATTCTCTTTTACTCTCGAAGCTTCTTCATCAGTCTCCTTGGATGGTTCTTCCTTTTATTCCTAAGCCCTTAATTTTAGAGTTCCCAGATCACTCTTCTGAAATCTAATCCCATATGTTTAATACCTTACTCAGTATCTCTACTTGGATGTCTAAGAGACACCTCACACTTAACCCAAACCTGCCTTAGACGTACCTTCCCCTTCTCAGTTGCAATACTCCAGTTGCTCAGACCAAAAATCTTGGGGTCCTGAGGCTCTGCTAGCCCATATCTTTGTCTCTTGCCTCATAGGGAGAAACATAGATCAGGATTTTTTTCTTCTAAGGTCTTGCCTCTGTGGTTCACAACTCTTTCCCTTAATTCACGATGTCCACTATATTACAGTGCATAATCATTTTAAGTGTGCAAAGTTGTTTTGAAAACTAGAGACCTAGGTAAATTTGGGGTAAAACCATATGTCAAATTTGAAATCTATAATCTGAAATAACCTGTTTCATCAAAATCAGCGAAATGCATAAATTGTCTCTCGCAGGCTTGAGTAATAATTTCAACTGGTCACATTTCCTTGACCTCCTTTTGGCCCTCCATGGATCTCAAATTCAACGTGTTTAAAATACCATCTTTCCTACGAGAGGCTCTTACAGCTATATTTGTCCTTCTTCTGGAAATAGAACCTCTCTTCTTAGCTTTGTTTCTCTCCCTGGTCTAATTTTACAGCTTCCTTGAGCATTGCCATTTTCTTACATGAACCCACCACCCTGACTCCAATTTGATTGGTTCAGGGATGTCAAACTGGCCCAAGTTAAGCTAATCATAGTATTTTAAGACTCTAGATACATTTGGTTGATTCATTATGTGACACAAGGTGGGTCAGTTACAATCCTCCCTTAGAATATTTGAACTTGGAAGCACAGAAGATAAAAGGCAGTTCCCTTTGGAGATAAAACCTATCAGAAGTAAAATCTGAGAGCTGTTTATGTCATATTTCCAACTTTAAAGAAGGAAAACAGTCTGCAGTGAGAAAGGATAAAACTGACATCCAGAGAGAGGCACAGATAAAAGGTAGTGAACTAGATTCTGGTGATATTCTGGTGGCTGGATCTAGTTTTTCCTGGGGCCCAGTAGGCTATCCTTTCAACGTGTATTAATGAAGAATCTTGTACTTTATATTATGATATCCTTGCTAACTATCCTAAGAAGGAAGAAAAGAATTCATTTTCTTATGTAATTGAGAAGGACATCAAGGTAGCTAACATAACCAAATGGCTGCAGTGGCCAGGCCTCTATTTATGCTTCTGGCACTTCAGGACTACTAGTTTTCTCTTTTTATACATCTCCCATTTCTGCTTATTTTAGCTTTTGAATTAGTCTCAACTGGACTTCATGCAGTTACGCTTTTCCTAAGGCACTGGGGAAGATGGCTGCAAGCTGCTCCAGTGTCTTTCATCCTTCCTAAACAGTGACCTCGAAGACAAAGGCTTAGGGGAAAAGTCTAACACTCCTGATCGGCATAGCTTAGGTCTCAAGACCACCTTTGAACCAATCACTCTGGCTAGACCTGGCTCATATGGTACTTCTAGGTCTGTGGATAGGTCAGAGTCAGACAGAGCTTCACAGAAAACATGGGAATTGGAGGGTACAGCTACTATAAAGGATATTATAATACGTTCTGAGAAGACAGCACTACAGCCACCACAGCCCACTATACCATTGCTTGTTGGTTTATTTCTTTCTTGGATTCAGTGCAGCAATAAAAGTCATTTTTTGCCTAAGCCAGCTGAGTTTTCTCTCATTTGCAATCAAGAGTCCTGATGAACACACATTTTCCCATCTCGCTTTTTCTTCTTAGATTCCGATCTCCCTGAATGACACTGCTTACTGAATCATTCTAGTTAAAAATATGGGAATCCTCTTCAAGTTTTCTCTATCCTTCCCTCTCCATAGTGAAAAATGTGAAATTATTCTTAATTTCTGCCTATTCCTTTTATATTCAATAGATATCCATATCCAATGGGATATCCTGCTGTCAGTTCTACCTCTAAAATAGCTGTATATTCAGTCTCACTATTTCATTTCTGTTGTCACAGCCATTGTTCACACCCTCATCATCTCTTGCATGATGTGCCTCCCTAATTAGTTCACTTACTTTCAGTCTTGCTTATTTGCATTCTATCTCCCATCCTACTGTAAAAGTAAATCACCATGTCATTTCCCCGAATGGTATTTTCTCTTGGCACCCATTACCTTTAGAATAACCTTAAAAAATTTCTTGGTAATGTGTACAGGACCCTTTGTGAATTTGCTAAGGATAGTTAACTTGTCTCTTGGTGTTTAGGTCTCAGCATCAATTCTCACCTATGTATCCCACCTGTGTATGTCACTGCTGTGTCATCTTTGCCCTGTGCTTTTCAGTCAGGGCTGTTCTGACCCTAAACTCTACTCTCATCATTCGGTGTCCTTTATTTGATCTTGGGACTCCTTGATATTTTGAGTCCTTCTGCCTTTAATATTTACCAGGTTTTCAAACCTCATATTATACATAAATCACTTATGGAGCTTTTCCTTGACCTAACCTGGACACACTGCATTGGAAACATTTAAAAAGTTTCCTCCTGGATCAGGTGTTTTGTAGAAGCAGTCATTTAGCAAACACTTGAGTGTCTGCTTCTGCCTGATACTGAAGTTCTCAGATGCTTCTTTTCCTCACTGACGGGATTTCTTCCTTTACCTACTTCTGAGACTTCTGATTGGCTGACCTGACTTTAATTTCTCTTCAGATTCCATCAGCAGTCATCCCTGCTCCCCACCCTCATGACATTAATGCAGAATCGGCTATTTCAACCATTTCAGTCTTCTATATATGCAGCCCCTCCATTATTCCATCGCTTTGACTTTATTCTGTCTATTCTTCCTTTATTATACATAATTAACTAAAGTTCAAGCCTAAATCGTTTTTCCCAGCTGCTTTGGCAATGTCTACAACCATAAATTCTCCTTCTCACTCAGGAGAACTGACATACCATTTCTAGGTTTTCACTAGGACTTTAGCTTCATTGTAGTGGCTCCAGTCATTGGCACACTACAGCAGAGGGCAGAGAGCATGCATCTCTTCCAATGTCTGCGTTCAACCACATCATGGTGGTTGTGTAAAATTGGCTGTGGTGTGAATATTTACACCACAAAATTAGCAAAAACTAGGCAAATACTACAGCTGGTTGTTAAACATTTACCAGCATATCACTAGCTT